GTTTTAACCCCACTTTCTTACTTAGAATTAAGCACCTCTTTGGAAGGACCATAAGATAATACTATGTAAAATGTGAATAAAAATCTGTTCCTGGTTTGAAAGTGTTATTTCCTATTTAATTGTGTAGTACTTAGTTTGAATGTAGTTATACTCCATAAACTTCATTTTTATTTCTGGCTGTCATTTTTAACCTTTCAATGTATCATTTTAAATGGTTTGTGCAGGCCACAAAAATAAAATTTCTGCAGTTTAATAAGCTTTCCCCATGTTTTTATGGTAGATTCAATTAGGAAATGACATTTATAACCCAGGAACAAAAATCATGTTACATAGTGTTATTAGACAAAGAACAACCAGATTTTTCACAAGCTCACAATGTGTGTTATATGTATTTATTTTGACCCTCTGAGGAGCCATCTCACACCATTAACTGCCACTAGTGGGGAATGAAAAGAGTAATTACACTGCCATTTTTCCAATGCTGAAAAAAATGCCAAGAGGAGCAAATTTAAAACTTTACAGCCCTGGTACAGATTCTGCTAAGAAGAACTTCCTCAAGACTACATTCCAAGCTGATGAATTAAACCTTTGGAAAATGTTTGGCACATGCACCAGCAAATGCATATGCTTCACCCAGACTGAGGCTGGCATCAGTGTAGGTACCGTAGGCTACGGAGCCTCACTGTTTGAATTGTTTCCCCAAGATATGTCAAGATAGAGGTTAATATTCAGCTTCAGGGTTTTGTAATAAAAATGTACTTGTCTGCAGGAGTCTTTGAAATATCTGCTTGAAATGCTAAACTCAGCACTTGTTTGCATGTAGATCTACTTACACTTAAGCAAATTATCTTGTGGTTTCAGTCTTTCAGCTAGACACTTACCCATGAGCCACAAGCAGTACTTCAGTTTGTTTGAACTGAATTTCCTTTGGGGTTCTTTTTTTTTGGGGGGGGGGGGTTGACATGATCAAGACCATAACTGAAATAAAGTAATGTTGGCTGGTGTCTCCCATATCAGCAAGGAGGTTAATCCACTTCAGGCAAGGTTCAGCACTATCTATGGTGCTGAACCTTGCTTAAAGATAGGCTTCAGAATCTGAACAGTGCATTTAAAGTTCAGACTAAAGCTGGTAAAAATACACTATTCCACTAACGTGGAAGGCAAGAGCCATTGCAGGAATAAAGTAAGGTTACTGATTGTATTTTCTCACAGGGAAGTGATCTACCTTGTAATATAAATCAGACAAGAGGGATCACCTCTGAGTATTGGATGGATGTATATGGGCCTAAATTCTTCAAAATACTGTTTTCCAAAAGTTGAGCTCTCCAGATGTTGTAGACTTCAGCTCCCATTCCTTATTGTTGGTCAAACTAGCTGGAACTTCTAGGAGTTGGTCCAAAATAATTGAAGGACTCAAGTTTGGGAAACACTGCTTTAGAGTTATCAGATTCCATCTGATCTTGGGAAATAAGCAGTGTAAATTCTGGTTAGAACTTGAATGGAGGACCACCAATACATTCCAGGTACTGTGGGCTATATTTCAGAGGAAAGAACTAACAAAACCACCTCTGAGTACATCTTGCTCAGTACTAAGGAAGTTACCTTGTCAAAAGCTTAGGATATTGCTGCTAGGATTATTATGGTTTTTTGCTGCTTTTACTATTGCTAACAATAAATGTAAACCACAGTATAGCCACTTGACAGCCATGTACCCTGTAGCTCAAGGATCCAGTATCCTGGATCAAGTTTAATCCTTCAGTGGGTGATGTGTGCTGAAAGGGAACTGGAAAAGGGTTGCTGATAGGAATATGATTATTTATAAAGTCTGTAATGTATCTGCCAATGTCCTTCCTTTCTGATATCTATGTTTGGTCCACATCCAGATTCAATAATCCTCACATTTTACAGATCAAAATTTGAATGTGAACATGCTGTGAATATTTCAAAAACTATGCACATTTTCTGCCCATTGAGTAAAGAACTCTTTAAACACATTTTTAAGGTGCTGATTTTTCTCATTTTCTTCCCACAATTCATCTAAAGTGTCCTTCAACATGGGAATTTATATTTATATTTATTTAACCAAATGGCAAACTGCTTGTAAAGCAGAGGTGGGAAAGCATGGCTTGCAGTCCTTGAAACCCCTCCACAAGCTCTATGATCATTCAAAACCACCTAACCCTGGCCACAAGTGAGGTGTTCCATTTTCTCCATGCCTCCTCTGTTACTGGCCACCCCTACCATGTGAACCAAGACATGCCCATGAAACCTTAGATTGTAAGATCAATGCAGTTTGACTCCACTTTGACTGCCATGGCTCAATGCTATGGATTCATGAGAGTTGTGTTTTACAAGATCTTTAGCTTTCTCTGCCAAAGGATTCTGGTATCTCATTGACAAATCCCAGTATTCCATAGTATTGAAGCATGGCAGTTAAAGTAGTGTCATTAATTCCACCATGCCAACACACCCTGAGATTAGATCCATCACACATACCTGCCATCCAGTCATTGGGACAGTTTTGGGGTCTTCTTTGTGCAATGGTCTTATGGTAAAACCCAAGAAATAACTGACCAGCCATCTTCTACAGGAGACTTTCAATGTGACAATGTGGAGATGTAAGGCAAAACACACATTGTTTGATTTTGACCATTACAGAATATGTGTGTGCACATACACCAAAATATTTGCACACACAGAGAGCCAAGAACAAGGGAATGACATATTGCAAATGTAGTTGGTAAAACTGTAATTGTTTTCTCTGCAAAACAGGGCTGTTATACCCCATTGTTGGCTTTATCTGGGCATAAAGTGAATTATATGTGGTTGGGGTAGAAAAATAAGTTATAATGGGTGGGAGAGTGCTAAAACCACACTGCTATTTGGGATCCTGAAATATTTTATCATGTAGCATTTCAATGATATTTATCTTGAACAGATATCTATAACTTTTTTCAAAGAAAACAATAAGACTATGAAAGCTTTTGTTTTACACAGCCTATATGGGCTGGAACACATGTTATAGGTCTCAGCCGAAGGGCTACACCATGGAGGTCTCCAAGCTGGAAAAACTCTCTTAGCGTGGGAGCACAGGAACTGGAAAAAGATGGGTTGCTTTTGGATTCTATTCCTTTGAAAATGGCCAAAACGATCTTTTTGTTAAATGCTGTGAAAACATACTTCCATGCCCATTATTAGTTAGCAAGAATTCGTATGAATTCTTATAAGTATATGGTAAAGTATATGATTGTGACAGGAAGGAAAATGCTTGAAGGGCAAGTTTTTTAAAACTTATCATTAGTCATATTCACATTTTTTATGGATCAGCTCATAAATACTCTGTATCCAAACACATTGACCTTCCATATGTTTCACACAGTCTTCCAGTTGCTAGCTACACTTCATTTATCATCATAATAAAAACTACTGGGTGGCATCTCTTACCGCATGTGTATTATCATTTGTCACACATTTGCTACTGATTCCAACATCTCAAGTATTCAATACAAGTTTTTATTTTATTTTATAAAACCAGCAATTTTGTCAAGAAAAGTATTTCAGATATTTCAGACTTTGTAGCTGGAGTCAAACTCCTGTGTTCCTTGGGCTACATGGGGCCTTTGGTCAGGTCCCATAGATCCTTTCCCCCATTCCAAATTCTCACTTACCCACAACCTCCAACATTTCCCAATAAGTTTTGATCTGGAAAATCAGTTTGGAGCACTTGATTTTCATTTTAAAAGCTGCACTTTCCACATTCTTCAAAACATTAAAAGTAGCACCCCAAAGTGCTTAAATATCACCATTGGTTGTTGGAAGTTACTTTTTAGCCCATGAAAATGGTTCTTCAGCCTCATGGAGTCAGGGAAATGGCCCTTTGACTTTCCAAAAACACCCATTCCTTTATAAGCCATCTAAGTGAATCCAATCAAACTGCAATTGAGTGGAATCAGCATACTTGGCAGGAGCCCCCGGTGGTGCAGTGGGTTAAATCCTTGTGCCGGCAGGACTGAAGACCAACAGGTCGGAGGTTCGAATCTGGGGAGGGCACGGGTGAGCTACCTCTATCAGCTCCAGCTGTCCATGTGGGGACACGAGAGAAGCCTCCCACAAGGATGGTAAAACATCAAAACATCCAGGTGTCCCCTGGGCAACGTCCTTGCAGACGGCCAATTCTCTCACACCAGAAGTGATTTACAGTTTCTCAGGTTGCTCCTGACATGAAAAAAAAAACCATACTTACCTATGACTCAGGATGGAATTCCATACCCATTTTACCTTGAAATATGTAAAACAGAAAAGAACATAACACTTGAAAGCAAAATATTGTGTGAAGTTATATGGAACCGTTGATTGTAAAAGTGTTGGATTTTTTGTACCATTGAAAACAACAAAAAAGTTTAATCAGGGGTAATTTATTCTTTTGGTTCAAATAGAATTTAATTGAATTAAATTAGCTGGATTAAGGACCATCTTAAATTTTGGTACTGTTTATCACAATGAAAGTAGAAAGTCATGTTGTTTTCACTACATATCTCATTTTAATTTCAGCTTATGTGAAGGGCTGAAGGCTTCTGAGCCAGAAAATAAATGTGTTATAGAAGCATTACTCAAAGTAGTGGTCCCTGGACTGGTGCAGGCCACAGGACCATTGACTATCATTATATTTTATGGCACAAATTAATGTCACTCCCTGGAACTTTGAGAAAAAAAGTCATTTTTACCCCCTTCCCAGAGAACCTGAGAAGCAGCATTTTATAATTTCTGTTCAGAATTTTACTATGGTGACTTATGTTTTTTGTCTGTTTAGTAACAACAGAGCATTGGTTACAAGCAATGGATGTGTTTGATGTATAAACAGGAAACTGGTACTGAAAACTATCAAGTATTCCCTTTCAAAATCACTGGTTTAATAACTGTGTTAATATTTCCGGGAAACAAAACCGCGACAATCATTTGGTGAAAGGAGACAGATCCCATTAAAGTACTCAACACAGAGACAGTTTTAAAGAGTTTAATAAATATTTCCTTACTATATAAACTATAAATATAGCATAGAGTCCACATAACTTAAAATAATTTACAGACTGAGGTAGGGGGCCGGGTGGAAGTGGCAATGGGGGAAGGGCAGGATTGGCCAATCTCAGAGGTTTTCACTTTTCCTACTGATTACGCACACACAGGCAGTGTCAATCCGAATGAAGCGCCAGGCAGCCTGGTTGCCATCCTTGGTCAATGCCTTGACAAAGGTATGTGTTGTGGTGCAGTAGGAATTCCAGTGCCTGGCATCAATACCTCTGCACCCACTGGACACTGGCTTAGGGTCTCTGCACTTGGTCTCAAAAAAGTACTGCTTGTAAGCATTGTTATTGAGGTTTACGTCCACCATCACAGTCACCTCTTTGCCTTTGATGTCTGTTGCTGTGGTTTTATTGGCAACCCACACACTGACACTGTCACATACAGAATATTCTCCCCGGTTATGTACAGGATGAGTTGCCCGCTTGGTTCGGATATTCCTGTTGAGGGAATCTGTGCTGTCTAGGAATTCCACACTCTGACCATCCCTTGACAGAGGTGGTGGCTGAGTGCTGAACAAGACCCGAGGTGACTGGAACCGCCTTTTCTGAAAAAGCTTTGGATCCACAAAGACATTTGATGCTTGTCCAGTTTCCCTGTCCCCTGCCTTTCCAACAACAGGTTGGTTCTGGTCTCTGTGCCGGGTTGGTTTCATAATATGGCGTGTTTTAGTCCGACTGCTTCCGGAAATGTCAGCTGTTGCAGGAGACCCCAAAGGCGCATTATCTTCAGATTTTGGTGCTGCCCATATGCCAATCAGAAATGCTATAATCAGAGTGTAGCACAGCATGGACATTACGCTATGCACCTGTAAGAGAACAGACCAAGAACAATATTGTGAGTAAAGATAGCATTCAAACAGATCCACTCTGAATCTAGTGCATATATGCTGATACAACAAAGCCAGTGAAAATGTATTGTTAAGGTATGTCATGGTTTTTATGAGGTCTTGCCATGTGGATGCCAGATGTTGCTTTCTTTCTATTCCCACCCACTCCTTGTAGGAAGCCATATCCAAAAGTCTGAAACATCTGTGATAAAGTAGGAATATTACGAAAAAATAGCTGGGTTATTGTTAATTCCTGTGGTATTTATTGTTATTAAAATAGGACTTATATGAAGCAGTTGCTTGGGGTTATTAAAGTTGAGGTAAGATCCTGACTAAGATCTCTATGAGTTACACCCGAATTTCTATCAGAAGAAGAAGAAGTATAAAAAGAAAAAAACCACACAGTGTATTTTCTCTCTTCTAGACAATTATAAATTCACAAATTTGGCCAAAAAGCAGTAGAAGGACTGGTCCTCAGTAGAGTCTAATAGATTTCATGTGAATGTGGTGGTGGTGATGGTGGGGAGTTAGGTGAATGGGGTTGAGTGCTTTGGATGGCTACTTTAAAGCTCACACTAAAATCTTCACAGGATTCGCCACTCAGTTAACCTGGAAGTCACCAGTTGCCACTGTTGTATCTCTAGTCTAGGCATTTAGAGTGAAAATAACTTCAGAAAGACTTCCTTAACTCCAACTCTCTATAAGAATCTTCAGAGAAAGAAAAGGAAACCAATACAGAGCTGGCATAGTAAAGAAATAAAGTCAATCTTCCTGATGTGACACATCATTAAAAGTAGAACTGCTGCATTTGCCAATAGACTAAAATAGGAGATGCAACACAACAGAAAACAAGTCTGTCTAACACCATCAACATCAAGTTGCGTCATTGTATTTAATCTTGTGGGCATTATACCATTTGTCAGGAGAATTTTTTTTCTTCTGTTACTATTTTTGCTATGCTGAGTGAACAAATACCCTCATTCTCTCACAGAGGAATGGTTCAAACCTTTGAGTTTACACCAACAGGTTTGCATTACTCAGCTTCCAATGTAGGGCCTCCTCAATAGGAGTGAAAAATGATGAAAAATGTTCATAAATAGTTGAAAATTTGTTTCTCAAATGTCAGGAAAGCCTGATGAGATCCTTGGACTGACAAGAATCTTCACAGTTTGGAATTTTTCTAATTTTGCACTGAAAAAGCGTTTTCTGAGCATTTTTTTTATCCAGAGGTGTTGGCCAATATCCTTCATCAAAAGATGTAGCTGCAATTATGAAGTTACATTTTTCATAGCTACCTCTGCTGATGTCATTGTACAAAACATACCTCTTAAGCTAAGCATTGCCACAATCAAAGGGTTTCCAAGGTGCCACAGGCTGGAGTGTTTAGAAATTATGATTGCAAATGTTTTCTTGATTTCATGGTGTACTGAGATAGATTTCTCAGTGTCCTGCTGCATCTACTTGCCTAATTGCAAATTGAAACTGGAAGAACACGACCATCGATATTTCCCAGCACAAGATCTGCTCTATTGTCTGATAGGTTTTGGGAGTCACATTTTCAGTTTAATGCTTATAAAAATGAATCTCAAAAGTTATGAGATCTGATTTATGATCTTTTAAATAATGAAAAAGGTATCAACTAATTATTTTTTGCACAAAAATGTGCACAAAAGCATGTGTGAATTGTTCACACAATATGTCCTGAACTGTGGGAGATAGCAAAAGTATTTGTTGCTTTCTTCAAAATCAAGTGTAATGAAGAATGATAATCCTACTCCAAAGCACCCTTCAAACTCCCCTTATGTTCATTCCATGTGGTTGTTAACCACCTTATCATATTGAGAAATTTCCCAGGTGTAGAACACTTCAGCCTTTTTTCAAGCATGGAGAGGTACTAAGCTCATCACATGAGTTAAGCTACTTCTGGCCATCATTCATAGCCTTCCTTGGTTGAAAAGAGGCAGAAGTGTCCTGAAAGGAGGGAACTCCTGCAATCGACCTCATCACACTGGGAAATAATGCATCCATATCGTAGGACACTTCAGCCTCTTTTCAAGCATGGAAATGCACGGAGCTCATCACATGTTCTAGGGTTGAAAAGAGGCAGAAGTGTCCTGAAAGGAGGAAACTCTGAACAGGGGGCAACAATTGTGTTCAGAGCTCCTACGTCTTATTGCATTTTACTCCCATGTTTACAACTGAAAAACAGGTGTGATGGGAACTATCAAAGTTTCCCATCTACTGTCAGCATCCTATGTATCCTATGGGGTTTGATGCAGAACTATATGATCCCATGGAAAGAAATGGGTTTCACTGGGACCACTGTCTCTTGTGTTCTATGGGGTTTGATGCAGAACCACAGGATCCCACAGAAAGAAATGGTTTTCACTGGGATCACTGTCTCTTGTATCCTATGAGGTTTGATGAAGAATCATAGGATCCCATGGAAAGAAATGGTTTTAACCCGGATCACTCAGTTGTGGAAACCCACTGGTCTCAAGCATTTTGGATAAAGGAGACCCAACCTATAAGCTGATGTTTTAGGATGTATAAAAGAGGAATTTACTACTAAACTGAAAAGTCAATTAACACCAGTGTCACAGCCACCTAACTCTTCACTTACAATGAAAAATGGATCATTTGGTTGAATTACAGAGCATGCTTCACATAAATATCTGTTCAAGAAGTGACAGTGCCAAAGGAAGTCATATAGTAGAAGCACATATCCTTGTAAGTTTATTCAAGGTGGATTTTCACAACACATTCTGCATTTAAAATGTCACTGCTCTGTTAATGGGGAAAATATGGTTTGACAGATGGAAATGCCACCTGGATCAGCCTTCATTGTAACAACAACGAACACATTGTCTCCCTATGAACAACACAGTGATCAAAGCTGTTTTAAGACATCTTGTTGTCTGTAACAGAATAACAGGTTATGCCCCTCCCTGCTCATTTCTAGGAAATCTTCATTCTGCTGCCAGAATTCAATGCTTCTACAAGAAAAATCCTTTCTGATGCATTTTTCTTTTTTTCTCTTCCTCCCAAATAAGGAGAACCATGATCAGATGTAATACTGAAGCCTTTACTTGCTGCTAAAGAGGATAAGTAGAATCATGAGATCTTTTCTATCATTCAAGGGCACATACATCAGTTAACTGAACCAGACTAGTAATCCCCTTTAACACAATTTTAATTATTCTTCAATTGAGCAAATGATACAAATCATTTAATGATTTCTACAGCATTGGCCTTAATTTAATGACCCTGTTGTACTCCCAACTAGAATAGTTAAGCAATGGTAAATGTAATTTTCCCATAATGCACCCATATCAGTCTTGCAGAAGTAACTATGAAAATGGAACAGGGAACAGAATTTTTACATATTAACAAGTAAAGGGCAGAACTCAACTTATGCTATTAAAAGATTTACTACTTTGCTACACAAAAGATGATTGCAGCAATTAAAAAAAGAACATAGCAGGAATAAAAACTACAATAATGAACTCTCCAGACTTCTGGAACCGTTATACAAAGGGCTGTTTCCTTTCCCAGAAATGTTATGACTGAAAAAAATAAGCAGTTTCTTCAAATTAACAATGACACTTTTGGCCCTGTAGATTTCAAACACAAAATAATTGAAAGAAAGAGCATGTCAAAATGAGTGGAAATTCTAGAAGTTTTCAAGGGTCTGAAAATTGCATAACAGCTCTAGCTATGTTTATTTACAGGTTCCATTGAAGAATTTGGAAGTTATTTCCAAGTAAGTATGCACACAATTGGATTGCCACCTCTTCATATTAGACTTGATTCTCCACAAATACTAAACATTTGAGGGTTCTCCCTCAAACTAACAATAAGTTAACTGATCTGAGCTTCTGTCCTGATGCTTTCCAATGGAGACATGAATGACCATTTGATGAAACACAGTGTGCATCTGTGCCATTCCATAAGGTATAGTGATCCAACTGCTCAGGGAAAAGGCTGAGTAAAGTTACTCTGAGTCCCTCAGCCATTCCCTTGTTTTGGAGGATACTGTTGGCTGGCTATCTTCAGGTGTAGTGAAGGACAACAATTCTCTGATTCTGGCTAGAAACAGTATAATTGCCAGGCCTTTGGCCCCTGTCTTTCCTCACAGGGCAAGATTTTGTCTCTGATATCATACCATCCCTATAAATTAAATAAGAAGGTAAGATCAAGTATTCTGCTTTTCTATCATTATGCTTAATTTCCAGCATGAGAAGAAGAGGGAACAGATTTTGTTAAAATTGAAATAAGGTCACGGGAGAAGAGCTTGGAAAAAATATTGTTAGGTATAGTAAAGTAATTCATAGCCCTATTTGAAAAAAAGCAAAATATCCAATCTTGCAGGGTCCTTGGAAAGCTTGTTTTAAAAAGTAACTTTTTAAAGTTCTGATCTGGAGAACTAGAGGAGCTTGCTTATGCTCTATACTTTGAAAGCTTGTCTAGTGTGAAGTCTTGTGCTCAGCTGGAACACTGCCAAAAAAAATCCTATCATTTCACTGAACTTGGAGGATGGGGGAGGTTTCTACTTCTTTCTACAGTAGTTGTAGAATTGGAAGGAAGCCTTGGGTTCATCCTGCATGCCAAAGTCTAGCTTAATTGAAGAGGGCAATTAATACTGTCAAACCCCACCAGTACTGTTGAAAATATAAAATTAGCCCCTTCCAACAATCTTCCATCCATAGGATGCAACAATCCACTTTTTAGTAAGGATGGGTCCATATATGATATATGACATCCAGAATAAGCAGGAGAAATCATTAAATATCGGGAAAAGAAAACAACTAATTACAGACCTATTGGGATATTTATTTAACTAGAGGGGCCATCTGCACAGCAGGGAATTCTAAAAGCACATTGCCGAGAGTTAATTTTTGATAGTAGCTTATTTTGCTACCCCTGTGAGGTAGCAGCCAACAGCTACTTCACAGGGGGTTGTTGAGACTATTTTTCAG